TTCTTACTGCTGCAGCTTCACATTAAAACACTGGCCGATCTCAATAATGTTCAAAACAATCGTGATTATCACTTTGGCCATAATAGTGGAGCCCAAATACCCAGAGAATCAGTTTTAGATAACAACACCTTCAAAATAACAGCAAGCAGAGCATCAAATGCTGCCTATCAGAGCATGTGATATGCTTCTGGGTGTGAAGTGCTCGGGGTTTGTGGTTTTAAGTGTTTCAGTGTGTGTGTGTGTGTGTGTGTGTGAGTGAGCTCATGTGTATCACCTTCGCTAATGGACAGCAGCCCCAGGAGCCGTCGATAAGCTGGCAGCAGGTGGTGTCATCCGGACACTCAGACTCCTGGTCCGGACAAATGACCGCCTTTACTTTGTCCCCGAGCTGGAGCCATCATACATCACAGCCGACGCATACCAACAACAGCAGCACACACGGACCAAAAAACACACAAAAACAACACGTCAATGACAGGATCGCAAATGTATTAACTGTGGAAATAGTTATTTATCTGGAATTTAAAAGGAATAAGGCAGTAAACAGAGAGGTTGAAGAGTAGTAATCGAACTAAAATTAGATTTAAAAAAATACATCCACATATTGAGACAGCTGTAATGATTCATTTAGGTGTTATTTAAATTAAGTGTGCATGACAACTAGTTAGCAAGTAAGCAGGGGCGATGAAACAGGTGATGAATATTTTTAGTACAAATGCAAACATTGACAGTTCAATTGTATGAAAACATCCACTCATATATGATTAACAGTTAAATACCATCCAGACAAAGAACCGCTCGTCGTTTAAGAGGCCAAATATAAAAGTGAACAATCTTTACTTGAGTTTTGACTTTATAAAATGAATTACTACTTTACTAGTTGTTCATAAACATGTATTTAAGATAACTTATTATTTTTGCTGTTACACTTACGAGTGTTTGTAGACAAGTTTGTTTTCTGTGGTTTATGTCTAATGTTATTTACCGCTACACTTCAATAATAGAGGACTTATTCTATACGCTCTTTGTATTGGACGACAGTAAAGAGAGATAAGAATAAACAAAGCGCCAATGCAGCAGATATAATGGCGTCCAATGACCTACATTCTTCAAACAATTACATTATTACGTCTAAAGTCGAGCTCGAACTTCACGCCTCATTGATTCGAGTGCAAAGGTCGACAAACAGCCCAGATGAGTTCAGAAGAGACGATAAAGCTTTGTAAGAAATACCTGAGGGATGAACAGAGTCGGTTTGGTGGGAACTCGTGTCATCCAGGGCAGAGAAACTGTCTTATTAACACATTTGGAGTGAACGAGATCACAAACCGTCCCCTCGAAGCAGCAGTGGAGGTGATCTGAACAACACTCAGCCTACAGCAGAGAGACAAAGGTTTAACTGAAACACACTGAAGACACAAACGCACCTTAAATTCTACAAATACTGTGTATCACAGACTCCTTCAAACACACCCAGCTCATAGTCGCACACCCACAAGTGATGGCTGAAGCTGCAGTGATCGCAGTAATAGTAGTATTTTTGGCTACGGCTATGAACCACATCTATCTACGGGTACATAAAGTAACTTTAACCTGACACGTAACTGAATGGATCGACTCACATGTGGCAGCGGGCAGCATCCGTATCCGCCCACGGTGTTCTTGCAGCAGGTGTCTCTGTCCTCACACATGCCTCCATCAGGACAGACCAGCGCTGTGCTCAGGCCCAGCAGAGCCAGAAGCAGGATCCCCATCTGCAGAGTCTGAGCACCAGGAGAGGACTGTCAGAAACTGAGCTTTACTGATACACAAGAGTCCTGAGACTATTGTCAACAGATTCTATCTAATCTTCTCAGTCTGTGTTTCTTTCGGGGGTTGTGAGAAACCACCAAATCTCTGTGGAGGACGATAACCAAGGTGACAAAAGGTACAGCAGCTCCGCGAGCATTCCTGCTGATAAACTGGATTTCAACTCTGAGCCAACACATATCTGCTGGAAAGTTCATGTCCCTTTTTATGTATCTATAGCACTCGTATGTTCGGCTTTCTATATCTGAAACAACTGCTACACAGTCACCTTATAAACAATTAGCACTCAGTTAGGCAGCTGCAGATTTTAGGGCTGAAGCTAACGACTATTTGGATTAGGAATTAATAATTTAGTGAAACATTACATCAGAGTGCTGTGTTCAATTTGCTTCCTTTGTCTCAGTAACAGTCTAAAAGCTAAAGATACTCCATTTTCTGTCGTACATGACAAAGAAAAACAGCAAATGAGAAGCTGGAACCAGATATTTTGGGCATTTTTTCTTCATAAATTAATAAAACAATTAACTTATTACCAAAATAGTTCATTTTCTGTCGACCAGTTGATCAATTTATAGAGCAATAGTTGCAGCTCTATACATGGTGTACTGCTCTAAAGTTATCTGATAAACAAACATTGCACAATTCAAGAAGACAAAAATGGTTATTCAGCATTAAAGGAAGAACATGACACAAATTTTGAGCTGTCAGTCGACTTCAGCTCGTAAACAGCTGCAGGACTGTGGCGACTGATAAGGAACTGAAGAAAGTATTTATACACAGCTAAGTGTGATAGCGACCTTAAAGATCTTAAATAAAACCAGAAAAGAGCAAATAAATGTTCCCAGAGCCCAAAATATTCATATATTATATTATTTATCATATTTTTACAATATTAAACAGTAAAAAGGAAGAAATACACAAACTGGAAAAAGGTGGAACGAGCAAATGTTTGACGCAAATGTATATTTTATAAGAGAGAGTCAGATAAGATTTAGATTGTGTAAGTGTAGACAGATTAACAGGGTTGAGGCCTTCTTGATTTCCCATTTTAAACATATACACAGTAGGTCTATATCTCAGCATTTGGTTCACTTCTGTGAAGAAAAATAAATTGTCCAGTAGAACAAAGACTGAGCATCAGGGGCAAGAAAACACTGAATCTGTCAAAAAAATACATAACACAGACAGAGAATTGTGTAAAAAATTCCCTAAATCGGAAATAATCTGCTCATAATTCATCCAAATCTCTCAAAAACTTCTTGTTCATTGAACAGTTTTTAATATAATGTGAAATATCCATAAGCTTTGTCACTGATTCAGTTTAATGAATGATAGAAAAGGGCTCTCTGAGGGAAAGATGTTGGTTTAAAGTCCAGTCTTTAGTACAGTCCTGGATCTATGAACCCCTCTCTGCCTCAGAGCTGTTGTTTCTCATTATGTATTAATTATAAAATGAGATATTCCTTTAATAGTCCC